TTGTAAGAGGAGGTTATTGATTTGTAGAGCAGTGTAAGTATACAAAGTGATCAATATAGGTTTTAAATTTTTATTTTAAAAAGTAGTTTCAGACTTGACTCCCACTTTAGGAGATCAGGGCCTGAAAGAAGTATCCCTTAGGGGGGAAAGGAGTCAGGCTGCCTTCAAATGCAAGAATTGGTTGGAACTTAGAAGAGGAGTGATAGCACACAGCAAACAGCTGGCCCCAAACCTGAGGAGGGACAGGTGCCAGCAGGGAGAGGACACAGAGGGGCCCTTGCTCCGTGGGGAGGATGCACCACCATTAACAAAATGATGAAGCCTCGTGGGGTCCCCAGCTAAAACAATGACAACTGCAACAAAAAAAAAAGCCGGGTGTTGGGGTGGGCACCTGTAGTCCCAGCTACTTGAGAGGCTGAGGCAAAAGAATTGTTTGAGCCCAAGAGTTGGAGGTTGCTGTGAGCTGTGATGCCACAGCACTCCACCCAGGGTGACAGCTTGAGACTGTCTCAAAAAAAAAAAAAAAAAAACCATCAAATGATTCTGCAATAGCAGAGCATTTATTCTACCCTAGGGGTAGGGCCCCAGTGGAGGGCCTGGGGATTGGATTTCTGTCTTTTGGTACAAGTCCAAAGCTGAGGTCCTTTCCTTCTTGCCAAGGAAGAACTCACTCTACAAAGTGTAGCCTCAGACCATTTTTTAGGATTTAATCCTCTTATCTTTAATTTTGGTATGAAAGCATTTTTCTTCTTTAAAAGAACTTAAAGCATCAGCAAACAAATGAGGGCATTTGAGATAGGTGATAAGATAGAAGGATGAGAAAGAGAGGAGGGACCTAAACTCACACAAGCCTGTTCCAAACTTCACACGCACAGTAGAAATCGATGTGGCCATTCAGCACACACACAGCAGAGCGAGGGGTGATCAGAATGACCATTCTGCCAAGTTCTGCCACCCTCGCCTCTCTGGACATGCTGGCTGAGAACTTCGAGGCCTCACATAATAATAATTAAATCAATATAGATAAATTAGATAGTTATTTGTGTGGTATTCTCCCTCCCCAAGTGTCACAGATAAGACCTTATTAATAATCTATTAACATCAGAATCTTCCCTTTACAGAGCAGTACAACAAAAAGTGGGTGGGTTGGCCTGGGTCACCCTGCAGAGCAGATGACAGGGCACCCCTAGAGATGGTTGCTTGGCAAACCTATGAATAACCCCTAGAGATGGCTGCTTGGCAAACCTATGAATAAAGGAAGTGGAAGCAGGGCTTCACATTTTGTAGATAAGACAGACCTAGAGGGTGGGCTTCATAGGGCCGTGAGGGAAGGTCTAGGTCAAGTCTCTTGTTGATGGATGAGGAAACTGAGTCTTACAGCATTGAAGAGTCAAAGCCACACAGCTCACTATGCTTGGGTCATCGTGCCGCCTGCCTCACAGTCAGCTATTATCATCAGGAAGCACACCACAGGCTTTTATTATTTCCTTAAACACAAAGACTCCTCGCCTTTATCACATTAGTTCAGGGTTCAGCAAGTGGATTGCCTTCATTTAGATGAGAACTTTCTGAGAGTGCAAAACATGCCTCTACAATTTTCTCACCTAAGATTTTTCCTGGGACTATTGCAAAATCCCTCTACCTTCTGGACTACTACAACCTCAAACACAAAATTACTCTATGTTTAGGAACCTGAACAAGTTATTTTAAAGATCTATTCCACCCTTCTAAGGTCCTATCGCTTGTTCTCACTCATTATAAAAGATCTCAAATCAGACCTTTTCCATTTCTTTCCTTCTCCTTCACTAGGTGTAGATAAAGGATCCTGGATCATGTAGAAACAAGATTAAAAAGGTCCTTGAGTGTAATTCAGTCTAACCACCTCTCAGAAGCTAGAATCACGATTTATAGCCTCCTGGACGAACAGTTATCTTCATGATGATAGAATTTTTGCAGTGGCAGAAATACCACTTTGTTTTGAAAAATCACCATTTTCAAAGTTACTTTTATAGTGCATATAATTCCCCCTCCCTGAAGCTTCCCGTAACTGATGAGATCTGCCATAATGTCCCACTTTCTGTGAATGTAACATTCCCTCCACAACCTTGCACTATTGATAGGAATTGTTAGAAGTGAGGTAATCTGTGCTGTTTATGACGGTTAAATCTGCATAAATATACTTAAAGTGTTTATCTTTATTTACTCACATGACCCGACTTTCACCAAATTGGTGGAGATACATGTGGATTGATCTGCCTTAAAATACCAGCTGTGCGCTGCATGTAAAAAAAAACATCGGGTGGTTATGATGAGAATGTTTATAACAGAAAGTTGGCCAAACCTCAGGGCCCATCTACACAGGGACAGAGGCTGGTGTCACCATTGGCTGAGAAAGACAGGCCTTGGGTATCGAGATACCGTGCTCAGACAGAGGTTTCAAATATGAATGCTGATTGAAATTCACAAGGTCAAACATTCAAAATTGTAGGCATCGATTTGTAATCAAGTTCTTTTGAAATTGCTTTGCATCTGGGCTGCTCTATGCAGCATCCTCTAGGAAGAGTAGCAACCAGGAATTTTTAAAAAATGGTAATAATGATTTTTCTCTAAGAGTCATCTAGCAAGATTATGTATGTGGAAATGCTTCATAAACTGTAAAGCCCCGTAAAATGTGATGTTGCCTCATCCTATTTTGAGCTCTTACTGAGCGCTCACCATGTGCTTATACTGCTTAATTGCCGAAAGTTCTAGACATTTTTAATATCTCACATAAATGAGTAAACATAAAACAATATCCTCTCTCCAAAAGCTTGATCTTGTAAAAGATTTCTTTACCTGGCTCTAGGTATATGAAAAATAAGGATACACTGAATTGACATAAATTTACAGATTCTATATAAAGTAGGAAAAAAGCATAAGAGGAGAAAATACCCAAAGAGAACTGGCATGCATAACAGTGGGGAGGGGGGTTGATATAACTATAGAGAATCTTTCTTACTCATAAGTCCACAATTTGGTGGTCGCAAGACCTAGGTTATCTGGGCCTGGATATATTCCTGGACAAGATGAAGGAAAGCCTATTCAGAAATGGAGAAAACTAAATGCTCTTGCAGGCTCATCTTCCAAATTATTAGTTGATTTTTGAACTGATATCAAAAGGTCAGCTAATAAGAATACACGAATACACTGTCTTCCAAGCAACTAGATGACGCTTTTGAGTTCAAAAATAAGACACAGGCCAGGCATGGTGACTCACGCCTGTAATCCCAGCACCTTGCAAGGCTGATGTGGGAGGCTCACTTGAGGCTAAGAGTTTGAGATCAGCTTGGAGAACACAGTGAGACTCCCATCTCTACAAAAAATTTTAAAAAGCTGGGCATGGTGGCATGTGCCTATAGTCCCAGCTAGTCAGGAGGCTGAGGCAGGAGGATCACTTGAAACCAGGAGTTTGAGACTGCAGTGAGCCGTGATATTGCCACAGCACTCCAGTCTGGACAATCAAGTGAGACCCTATTTCTAATAAAAATAAAATAATAAAATAAAATATACAATTAATAAAATAAGACACAAATTAATACTAGGCTGTCTTATGCCTGTGAACAAAACTGAACCATCATCTCCCTAGTTTCCAAGTGCTCTGAGAATTTGTACAATACAAGGCAAGGTTAAGGGTACATGTTCTGTTGTTAGACTTCCTGAGTTCAAATCCTGGCTCCACCCCTTGCTAGCTGAGCAACTTTAAGTATTCACTTAATTAATCTATGCCTCCATTTCCTCATTTCCTCATGGAGTCATCATAAAAAAGAGAATTAGTGGGAATGAAGGAGTGGGGAGAAGGGAGGAGAAAGAGCATGGGGGTAAGGGTATATGGCACACCCCTTAGGGGCAGGACACAATTGTAAGAGGGACTTCATCTAACAAATGCAATCAGTGTAACCTAATTCTTTATACCCTCAACAAATCCCACACAATAAAAAAAAAATGAAAATTGGTAAGTTATATGTAATAATTAAGAACATACTCTTGGAAAACAGAGAGCCTGAGCTTAAATTCCAGTTCAGTCTCCATGTGATTTGGCAAGATTGTTTTAGTGAGGTCCTCTGTAAGATGGAGTAGTAACAGTATCTCACCTCAATGGGTTGTTTTAAAACTTAAATAAATTGATCCGTATAAATGACTTAGTATAATCTCTGACATATAGTAAACTTTAAATTTTTTTTATTTCAGATTAATGTGAGAGTACAATGTTTGCATTTGTTAGGAAGAATCTCTGCTGTATTTACTAAAATTATAAATTTGTTAGGTAGAATCTCTGCTGTATTTACTTTAAATTATAAATTCAAAGTAATATAAGTAAAAAAAGAAAAGAAAAGAAAAGAAAAGAAAATTGGTAAGTATAAAGGTCCCAGAACAGTATCTGGTACAAATAAAAGCAATACTACACACTTGCTATTACTCTATTCATGGGCTGGCAACCTGGCTGGATTAATAGAACTGCTTGCAAGAAGAGGAGCTTAAAATTGCTTATCCTATTCTGCTTCGGTTTTGATGTTTTATATTTATGTTTTATTTCTTTTTTTAAAAAATACAAGAGCAAGGAGTTGTAACTTCTGCCCAGGAACAATGAAACTGTCCACTCAACAACTGTGGCTTCCAGGAGAAAGTAAGTGGAAACAGATGTTTCTGAAAAATAAAAATCCAGGCTATACCTTTGGTATCTGTGGCTCACAGAAAACTTTCCAGCAGCCATCCCACAGCAGCTGCTAATAAACTTAAATTTATTCTTTATGGACCTTTTTATAAAGCCTTCTAGAATATGCATCTTTCTTTCTTTTTCTGTTGTTTGTTTTTGGTTTTGTTTGAGACAAGGTCTTGCCCTGTCTCCCAGGCTGGAATGCAGGTGCCCTAATCACAGCTCACTCCAACCTTGAATTCCTGGGTGCCAGGACCCCCAGATGCCTTTTATCCCACTTTTCCCCCCACTCCACAAACACACCAACCTTCTATGAAATCAGAGGCCGTGTAGGGGCGCTGGTTGGGGCTGCTCTCGGAAGGGCTGTTCAGGGTCTCCAGGGCCGATTCGATGGCTTCCACCAACTCGTCCCGCTTGTCCTTCCTCACTGGCTTCTCCTCGGGGTGTCGTGTCAGGCCCGTCTCCAGCTGGTACACCTTCTGCAGGGTAAAGCTGTCGAAAGGCACCGCGGCGTACTCGGTGGCCAGCTTGACCCCGCTGTGCACCTCCGCCTTGTCCACCTGCGAGTGCAGGAAGGCCAGGAGGTCCGCCTGGCTTTTCTCTGGGGGGCTGTGGTCCAGCCCCAGGCCGGCGGGGTCGCTGGCCTGGTCCTGTCCGTTCCTGAGCTGCTCGCCCCTCTCCTGCAGCTCCTCCTTGAGCTGCGCGATCTGCTGCTTCAGGCTGCTCACGTAGTTGCGGTGCTGTTCCTCCCACTCCTGCAGGACCGCCTGGTACCCCTCCTTCCCCGTGGGGCCGTTGGCCCTGGGCAGCGCCGGCTGCTCCTCGTCGCCCCTCGGCGTGCAGGCCAACATGTAGAGCACAGAGATCACGCAGCAGAGCAGCACCAACAAAATCACCAGCCGAGAGACCCACGCGAGCAGCCCTCGGCGAAGCATCCTCATTCAGGAATGGGCCATGCGTCCAGTACCAGTGGCATCTCAGAAATGCCAGGGCCGGTGCCGAAGGGCTTCCCTGGCCTAGACCGCAGGACACGTGCGTTTGGGGCCTCCAGAGCTGCTTGCATCCATTTCCTTCTAGAATGTGTCCTGCCCCTGGGGGTCCACCACTACACAGAACAGCTGCCCTACTTGGAAAGGCTGATCTCGCAGGCAGAAGCGAAGAGGTAAGTGGAACCTCCCAGTCTCCTTCATTCTCACCACAGTCTTCCTGACAGGCAGCTGAGCACAACGGGGGACCTGGGAGGAGACACAAATGACATCCATACTTAATCAAATTAGTAACACCTTTATGTTCCCTGCAGCAATCAATATCCAATAGGCCTCCTGTGAGGTTTCTGGAAAATGCTTAGGATACACGAGTCAATGTGATCAAAAGTTTGTCAACCACACAGAAGTGTGTGCACTTGGCGGGTAACACATACATGGAACAAAGGGCACAGGAAACAGCATGAAAGGAACACGGCAAACGGGAACCACAGTTAACTCTCTTTGGGTGTAAGGGTTAAGAGTGAGTTTCCTGCTTCTATCTATTCTTTCTGTAACTTGTAAATTCTCCACAATGGCACACATTTTGATGGTTAATGCAGGAAAGCAAAACTTGAATGACAATGAAATTGGCCAAAGGGGACTTCAGGGCTAGGACCTATGCTTGGGGGGTGGATGGGATTAGATGAGCTCCTTGTGAATGAGCCTATGGGCACTCACTACTCAGGCCAGGCCCCACTGAGAAAGAAGGGCTTTCTCAGCCTTTCCGACCGGGAGGTGAAAAAGTACCAAATGTTCAAATATGGAAACAATAATTGTGGGTAGTTTGGGTAGTAACAGAATCAAGGGACAATTGTTCCAGCTAACACTGCAATTCTGCTTGCAGACAGGGGAAAATGAGTTCCTTAGAAAGGGAAGATCCCCCTAGAATGAACACAGATCGGTAATACTGTCCTACTGGGACTTAACTCCCAAGCATGTCTCTGTTGCAGCCTCTACACACAGTGCCACATCCTGACGGCTTATTAGAAATATTCAGATCAGTCTCAGGACCGTTTGCGCATCCTGGCAGCTCAACTCCAAAGCCCTGTGAGAAGGAAGGGGCCCTCCTGACTGGCCCGGCCTGTCTCCTGGGGGCACCCTGCCTCCCTCCTCCACCCTTCTCCATGTCCTCCAGCACACCACCTCTTCAGTTCTCCATTAATGCCCTTTCTTTGTCTCCCCCTACCCATCTTAGCCAGGAAAAATAAATTAAAGAATGATTAACAGAAAACAGATCAATTGAAATTTATGGTTTAGGGACATTTTTTAAGACCATCTAAATGTATCCATCTTCCTTCATTCCTTCCCCTCCCTTCCATTTTCCCTCCTTCCCTTCCTTCCAAACAAGGTCTTACTCTGTCACCCAGGCTAGAGTGTGCAGTGGCCTAATCACAGCTCACTGCAACCTTGGACTCAAGTGATCCTTCTGCTTCAGTCTCCCAAGTAGCTGGGACTACACATACATGACCACAGCTGGCTTATTTTTCTATATTTTGTAGAAATGGGGTCTCACTTACTCAGTCTGGTTTCAAACCTTTGGCCTTGAGTGATCCTCCTGACTCACCCTCCCAAACAGAGTGCTAGGATTACAGGTACAAGCCACTGTGCCCAGCTTGATGTATCTTTCTATGACACTCCTCTTACAAACCAGTTCCCCAAGAATACTGTGCCTTTCAAATTTTATAAAAACTTGGCATTTTCAGTAACCCCCCAAATAACTAAATTTATATAGTATTTCACCCAACCCAGAAAGTCAGGTTCTGGGCCAATAATCATTTCATTTACCAGTGGTCTGTACCAATTACTGATGGGAAAAAGACATCTCTCGAAGTTAATTAGCAACTTCAAGACCCCTGGGAAAAAAGAGAGAGCTTTTTTTTCTCTGAAGATACAGCAAATGCTTACAGCTGCATGGACTCTATTTAAATATTTACCTCTATGTGGTATGTCTGTACACAGAAATTCCTCTTCTATTACCCAGGAAGTGCCTCTTAGAGATACCACCAGGCTATCAAAAATAGTTTATTTCTCAATTGTCCTTAAAAACACGACACATAATCTTCCCTCTAATATTTCCCTGGGCCTGTGGAGTCTCTCTGCTATAATTTAGAACAATACACAGTTATTAGCACTAAGTTTAAAGTGCATGCTTAGCCCTGGAAGCCTTTTCCATGAGATGAAAATCTTGGGATTTGTGTAATTACTATAATTCTGTGATTAAAAATATCTCAGCTTTGGTGTTCAGGCACCTTGCTGTTTTTAATGAAATTCTCAGATAAACTCATTATATCCAAGTATTAAATTACCAGTGAAGACACGCTATCATGTTATTCTGCCACTTAAAGACTCCCACTTTAAATAGGTTGTCATTAAAGACAAAATAAGTAAATCGAAAAACAAAAACAGAACATTCAACATATTTTATTGTACTATAGAAGCTTTAAAAATGCAATTTTCCAATAGATTTTTAAAATGGGATAATGATTATACTTGCAGAAAAGATTAAAATCATGAAAAGATAAAATCATGATGCTTCACTGAAACAAATGTTTAAAGATTGAAGATTAAATAATCTATGATTAAAGAAATCTAAAACTGGAACATCTTTTTGTTTGGCTTCATAAATCTCTTTAAAATCTAGTCTGTCTTTTGAAATTCACTAGTATAAATTACTTGGTATTCCACTCTTTGGAGAAAAGGAATACTGGGGGGGGGGGAATAGATCTTTATGCAGAATGAAATTTAAAAGAAATAACAAACAGGCTAGGTGGTTTGTGCCTATAATCCCAGTACTCTGGGAGGTCAAGGTGATCTGATCACCTAAGTTCACAAGTTCAAGATCAGCCTGAGCCAGAGTGAGACCCAGCTTCTAATAATAGCCAGACCTTGTGGTGGGTACCTGTAGGCCCAGCTACTTGGGAGGCTGAGGCAAAAGAATTGCTTGAGCCCAAGAGTCTGAGGTTGCTGTGAGCTATGATGCCACAGTACTCTATGGGGGTGGGGAGAGGGGTGAAAAAGTGAGACTCTGTCTCAGAAGAAAAAAGAAGAGGAGAGGAGCAGAGAGGAGAGGAGGGAAAAAGCTGTAAAAATTGCTACCTAAGACAAATGATAGATTTTCCCTTTTAAATACCAGGACCTGATAACGTATGTCAGAAACAAAACTCTGCATTCTTTAAAAGACAAAACATTTCCAAACCACGCCAACAGTCTAATCTGTAATCAAAAATAGTAACAATTGGCTGTACTGTGGAGGCCAGGAGTATCTGCTTGCTGAAGTCAGCGGAGGCTTATCCTTCGGATTCTAAGGATACTTCCCACAAAGAACAACTTCACTGAACACCATCCTTAAAAGTGGGTGCCACTTTTACCAGCTCTTCCCCCTTTACAAAAAGATACCTCAATGAGACATAAACAGACCAATGTACACCTAAGCACCAAGGCCACGTGCAATCTCCCTCTCTGTGTAGAGGTGCTTTGAGAGTAAGAGTTAACACTAAGATTGTGTTTACAGACTTGCAGAAGGAAAGCACTATATAATTACCAAGCACTACTACGAGTTAGAGATGACAGTGAAAATAACAGCTTAATGTGGTCACAGTGGCACTGTGCTACTATTTAAAAAACTTAGAAAAGCCCTCAGATTTTTAGACTAGCTTGGTCTCCTGGGGCAGCAAGGAACAGGGAAAAACCAGAGAGCAAGAAGGAGTCCCCATGAACACCAATGTTAAGACCCTTGGGAGAAGAAGGGTTTCATATTCCTAGGTTTTTTTTTGTTTGCTTGTTTGTTTAAGGAAAAAAATCCTTGCACTCATCAGGTTTGGGGCCTTGTCCATGTCTGAATGTCCATCCCTACTGAACTGCTGTGCCCAACACCTTCCTATCCCTGGCCAAGCCCTCATTGATGGATCTGTCACGCACGCTGTCTGAAACAGTGGATTTATTGATTGGAGTGAAGGAGACAGCCAAGTACAAAGTCTTTACTGCCATTCTCACAGTCATTGGGCAATCAAACAATAGTCCTCTGTGAAGGCAAAACATTGTCACACAGCAACGCTTTCTAGTGCCCACTCTGGTCTGAGTCCACCTAAAACAGGGGTATTCCAACTACCCTCTGACTGGAAAAGCATTCTCAGTGTGGCCTCCTGTTCCATTATTCTCACATCAGAGCAATTCTAGAAGCTTTTCATTAAGGCATATAGCAGGGGAGGCTTAGCGATTTATAGACGTCCTGAGCTTTCAAGGAAGAAAACCTGAAAAACACAGTAGGCCGAGGCCAAGGGCTCCAGCAATGGAGAGGGTTTCTCAAGACTCCCAGCATAGATCATGTCACAGCCTGAAAGCCCACTGAGACCAGAAAACACCCGGGTCTCCAAATAACACAGTGAGGACCTGGAGATTCAGTACACTATAGATCAGAGATACAGTCTGCTCCCGCCGGGATTCTGTCTTCATTCATTCCCCATCTGACAAATAGGCCCAGAGACCTACTATCTTCAATGCACTGCATAAGAAGTTACAGGATTCTAGGATCAAATAGGACTTTCCATACTTCTTTCCATAACAACTGTACTAGCTTACAGTCCCACCAACAGTGCAGGAGTGCTCCCTTCTCTCTGCATCCACCCCAGCATCTGATGCAGCAATCCCATTACTAGGTATCTAACCAAAAGAAAATAAAAAAGTCATTTTTATCATAAGGACATTAGCACTCAGATGTTTACAGCAACCCAATTTATAATCACAAAGATGTGAAAACAACCCAAGTGCCCTTCAACCCATGAATGAATGGGTTAATAAACTGTGGTGCACGTATACCACAGGGTCCTATTCAGCCATAAAAAAGATGGAAATTTTGTATCTTTTGTTACAACTTGGATGGATTTGGGGGACACTCTCCTAAGTATCACAAGAATGAAAAAACTAGCATCACACATGCTCAATACTAAGTTGAAACTAGTAGATTAACAACAACTTGTACACATGAGAGAATAAACTCAATTAAACTCAACAAGAGGGAGGGGATTCGGTAAGTTCCCACCTAACCGACACAATGGCACACTTCCGGGGGAGAGGCCACAGCTACAACGTGGACTTTACCTTACAAATGCAAACAATGTAACCTAATCATATATATCTTCGTATCAACCGAAAATTTTTTAAAAAGAAGTTACAGGAGATGACAAGGTGAACCAAGCACAAATTCCTACTTC